AATTCTCATTGAAAAATATAGAACACAATGCGTTCGAAAGTGATTTATTAATTTCCCAGTCAGAGAGGTTCCTCAAGACCTCCACGTGCCAATGTCTTCCTCCTTTTCTATCTCTAAGCCTCAAACCCCCAACCCAACCCCCCCTAAACAAATCCACTTGGGCCTTTTGATTTTTGCCTTCAGGATATCCCCTTCATCTGAAGTCTATTAGCCAACTCCACCTTTAGGTTCTCCCTAGTCATATCTTTCGTGAACAGTGCATCATCGGTTTCCCTTTCATCATTTAATGCAATTTTCTGAAACAATAATTGCATATCCATGCTATCCCTCTATTCTTCTTCTTTATACCAATTATTTATTGCAGTCTTCATCACCTTTTAACAGATACATGATATTTTCTTCCACCCAATAGCATACTTTGATTATTTTCAGCAGATCAACTTGTAGTTCTAATACTGAAAACGAAAAAATGTATTTTTTAAAGAAAGAAAAAAAATTATTAACTAACAATATCCTCCAATTTGTTGGGAAACAATGTGGATAATTCTGATAGTAAAAAAGAAAATCTTCCAATACTGGCAACCTTCTTGAGTTCTCAGAAAAGTTCAATTGAATATCAACCAAATGTCAAGTTTCCTTACATAGACACTTCTTGTTGAATAAGGGACTAATTGATAATTCCTTTAAGAATATGAGTGCAGCACGCCCATTATGATAATAGTAGATGATCTTATTTCCTTTAACTATCATAAGAATTAATTTCTTCCAAAGATGTAAAAATTTCCATGGCTAGGCAAAGAAATCAGATGCATGCATCTAGGATTCTCAAAATATTCAATGTATGCCAAATTTTTAAAAAGTTCCATGTCGCATCCTTGTATTCAGGGTTCTAAGATGATATCCATTACAACAAAGTTCAAAATGCTTTTTCAACATGTGGCAAGGTGATATTACCAATCCATAGTACCCAAAATTAAGTGACGAAAATAAATTTCTTTGAACTTCTGACAAAGGATATTAAAGTCAACATACCATGAATATGACATGGATTTTGAGCTTTTGAGCAGCAACTCTTGCATGACTGGTATGGGCACCTAAATAGGAAATCCAAACAATGGTAACCGTCAAAGAAGGAAAAAGACATCAATTTTTCAAATGCCATGATCAAATATTAGAAAATAATTAACATTTATCTAGCAAGAATCCATATTTCAGTCTACATACTCAACTCCATTAGTCAACCTATAAACTAGGTAGTTTCAGTAAGCAGTTAATACCAAATCCATGTTCTTTTCTTTTCTTTTAAAAAGAAAGTTTACTAGAGAAAAGATAGTAAATTCCAAAGCCGAAGGACAAGAAATCCTCCTAAGAAGAATCAAAGAGAAAGAAGTACGTCAAAATAAATAAAAAATAAAAAACATGTCGGTCCCTTTAGAAAATAGTAAAAGAGACATCTTTAAAGTAGCTGCTCGCACTTGTCTACAAAGCAACAAAAAAAGCCATATAGTCCAAAGAAAAGATAATTGGCCTTTTTTTTTTAGAAAAATAAGATACGCAGAGCAGACTAGCTAGCAGATCATTTTAAAGCCTCAAACAAATGCAATCTAGGGGATTCATGACTTCAGTCAACCTAAGTTTTTTTAAAGCCAAGGTTAGCAAGTATGTCCCCAAAGTTGTTATTGCTCCTAAGAGTTTAGGTGATAGTCGCCTGCTCAATGGTGATCCCCAACAATGTCCCCATTGAGAAGGAAGACTAATTGCCGAACATCAGTCTCAATGATGACCCAATTGAGTTTTTCTCGCTCAGCAAGGTTAAGACTGTCACAAATGGCAATCAACTCAGGGTGAAGCGATATTGCCTACACTTTCCCGTAGTAGCCCTCAAGTCACCTTTGATGATGGTTGTGCAAGAGACTACCAATGCCAACTCTCCCAGTCCTGCGAATGACGCATGTATGATAATCTTTAGCCAACCCAGGTGGAAGGAGTCCACAAATGACGCTATTCTGGTCCTTGAAAATCCTAGCATTATGCTCCAACCAGAACACTCAGAACCCTGCAAAAATAACACCTCCAATGACACCCCAACTTCCTTCTTATCACCACCTTCCTCCAGGAAATAAAAAAGGAAATTCCCAATGGGTGGGGGACAACCAGACAATAATGAAAAATATCAAAAAAAAGGTAAACCAAAGCCTCCAAGCGATTTCACAATGGTCAAAATAAAAAGTGATTGTGGGATTATGCTGCTTTAAAAGACATGAAACGTGACAAATAACATGGTTAGGTCTACTGACTTCCAACAGATCTTTAGTACTCAACCTGTTCAAGCCAACCATTCAAGCAAAAACCTTCACCTCAAGGGAACTTTAGTTTTTCAAGACACTAGCAAATTCTCATAGAGGATGGATGGAGAATGTGCAACATGATTGAAAAGAGACTTGCAGAAAAGCAAATTACAGAGCTCCAATGACCAAACTCTACTATCATCACGTGAAGAGACTCAAAATGCTCAAGGATGTTGGGCAATGAAATAATTTCTACGTATCACTATCATTGAGGTTTCTAAAGAAAAACAGATTCCAAAAGGTTTGGCCGTCTGAAATTAAGAAAATGACAAAAAGGGCACATGATAGTATAAAGAAAGGCTACAAAGACAAGGGATTAACAAGGGAGATATCCTAATCCGCAGAGCTTCCCAAAACAAAATATAGGAGCCAACACTTTTAACCGAGGAACATCATAAAGCTATGAAATGGCCTTCCAGCCCGACCACTATGTGTATTTTGGCTAAAGAGTACAAGTCATTGCTATGCAATTCATACTCGCTATTTATCAAATTGTGCCACAAAGAACAAAATGTCAAAGCCATTTAGCCAATAAAACAAATTTTTAGATATGAGATTCCTAAAGCCTAGGCCACCATCCACTCTAGGAAGATAACAACATCAGGAGACACCAGATCTGTTAATGCCCTTAGAATCCTTTAAACCTGAGTGTTAATGCCCCTTGTAATCTGCCTTTAGAAGTGATTGCATGGCACTGGCACAGCATGCTTGATATGCCTACATATGCTAGTGGATTTTGTTGCTTTTACATATCAGGGCTCTTAGCAAACAACCTAGGGCATGCACAACACAATTTTCATGCTGGCACATCAAAATATCCTAAAGATCTCTCACAACTCAGAAATTAATAAAGTCATCTTTTGTGAAAATTTAACCCTAATGTTACCACTGATGATGCATTTTTCCGTAAGACTAGACTTTAGCCAACTAGCTCCTCTAAGATTACCCAGTTTAGCAGCCAATACAAATCATCTTGGCTGGTCAATTTTGAACCCTGATGACCATTCATATCGATCAAACGAATGAAATTGAAATCGGAATGAAGCAGCAAGAAACTCGACGAATATCGTCTACTAAAAGCCAAAACTTCATTCAAAAGGGAGAATGGCAGTCACAATAGAAACTAGGGATTCACACAGAAAAACAAACAAACAGACCAAAAACAAGAAGACACCTCGACACAAGACTAAAGTTACGAACTCAAATCACCATAAAAGCAAAAACGAAATCAAAATCGTAAAATATACGCACAATCCCTTGGAAAACCAAAATATGAGAGTACACTACCAAGATACAAAAAAACCAACATATAAACAGACTAGTCACAGAAGTATGCGGGGGAGTTTATACCTCGAGCGAGCGACGTTGCCGCACTGAATGCACTTAGGCTTGTTGAGGCCTCGAAGTGTCTTGGGTGGGGCGTCCGGACGGACGAGTGATGGAGAGGATGCGGCGGCGGGAGGGCCATCGGTGCTGCTGTTGCTTAGAGCTGGGGAAGAAGCCGCCATTATCAAGCAAATGAAAATCTTGTAGTATGTTTTGGTGCGGCAGTTTTTAACGGTCTGTTTGGTTCGTTGGAGAATCGAGGGAACTGGTGAAGAACGGAAGATTTTTGAAATTGGATGGAATGGGGATTCTCTCTCGGCTTCTTCTTTAAAAATAAAATAACTGGTTAATTTTATGAATCAATAAAAGAAATTGGGTGTTGTTACTACAAAAAGGGTGGGCCAGGACGCAGCTCACTGTATTATTTTTGGGCCTATACTATAATTTGGTATGGGCTTTGAAGGGCGTATGATACCTTCTAATATTATATTTAGGAGTTTAAACTTTGTAATATTATATCTCATAGTTTATTATAAAACTTATAATATTTGTTATTACCATTGTTTTTTTTTTAATTTTTTAAATATGTGACAAGTTGCAAACAGTCAAAATTTCATCTTTCATCTAAATGCTAACAATTCAATTAATATATTAAATGATTTATATATCTTTCTCCATTTGAATAATTACATAGCTAATTCATTTTTTTCAAAAATTTTGATCCGGATAGTTATATATTTTAAATAATTTAAATCAATAATTTTCTACCGTCACCCTAATTTCATTTGAATTGGCAAGCTGATATAATTTTTTCTTCTCATTTTCATATAATAAGGTTTATTAGTTTCATATAATACTTTTTTGCTTCAGATAAATATTTTGTTTGTATATCAGTAAAAATAATAAATAGAACATGAACACAAAAGTAATTAAAACTTTCTTATGGAACTATGACTCCACCATTGCAATTTCATTTTGTTTGCTTGGCTTTGAACTTTTTCTTTTACAGAAAAATAACATTTGACACCCATGTTTGTGTTTTACATATACAAACACGCACATCATTCATGTGCCAAAAACCTGGCCTTGTTCTCATACATGCAGATAAAAACATCATTTAACTATCAAAATAGTTCTATGAACAACAAACCAACATTCCTGAAGTAAGCTGGCCTATATTTCCCCTAGCATCAGCAACATGGACATCCACGTTTCTAGTTACACACAATAGACACGAAGTGAGCTGATCTGTGAAACCTAGTCTTAAGAAATTGGTCCTAGATAATCACCCTCCAAACCCACCAATGCCTGAAATTCTCTTTCTGCCTCCAGCCACTTTGTCCCGATCACTATGAAACGAACCACGACATCTTTCTCAATCTTTGATAGCTTCTCATTCATGAACACAGGATTCTCCCCTGGCACATAGCGGTAATCTGGCATTTTTGTATAGGAAAGATAAATATTCTCAATCGGTCCACACCTCAAGAATACTCCATGTTTTAGCACCTTGTGCACAACCCCCTCCAAAATCTCACCCCTGAATATCTTGAAGGTCAAGCCACTGAAAACAACAGGGAACAGCACATCGCCACTGTGCTGTCTAACTTTTCCCTCCCCAATCTTCTCCAAGGTTGTTACCGCAAGAAAATATCCAAGATCTTTGGTGGCCTTCTTGGAAGCAAAATCATCCAAAAGCCTGATCACAATAGATTTTTGAAGCATCAACCCCTTAGCGTCCAAGCAATCAGCAGGGACTATGACATTCCAGGGTAACTGCACCTTGAGAAACATTCTTTCCTACCTGTCATTAGCAAAAGAATCAGAAAATAATCAACTGTAATTCATCATATTTATTCTTTTTGTGCCTTGGAGGTTGTGGTCCCAGTTACTTGATATTTTGGATTTCATTGGGTTGCTCTTCCAAACCATGAGTCCTTATTCTAATGGAGTTGGTAAAAATAAGGGGGACAAATTGTCCTGGAATGGGGTGTGTTTAGGTTCGCAGGTGTTGTGGCTGGGGAGAAATGCCAGAACCTTTTAAGGATCATAGTTATCCTTTCTTTCCTTGGGCTCTTCTGGTTCTCTTGGGTTAAGGCAAGGATATTACAGTCTATCTCACTTAAAAAACTAGCTGCCTATCCTTCATCAACCTTTCTTTTGGTCTTCTATATTCTTTATTTCCTAATATTTTTACAGAACACCGAGTCCTCCATTATTGTAATTTCTATCGTTTCCCACTAATTTTTTTTCCCATTAAAGATGTTATCATTTCTCAATTTCTCTAGATTTGTATTTAACTCGGGTGAGGTGACTTATATTCAGTTAAAGAGGCAGACCATTATATTCTTCGTCTTGCAGTAGAACAGTAAAAGGATTAAAGAAAAAAAAACAACCCCAGATAATTGCAGAACATGACTTACATGAGACTCGTATGAATGAGAGGATAGCCTCATAATTGACAACAGAAAACTGGCTCACATTCAACTCTGACCTATTACAAATTGTATCCTAGTAGCAGATGCTTTAAAAGCCAGTGTGTAGGTTCAGATTTACTCTGCCCCTGAGATGAAGGACAAAAAAAGAAGAAGCATGCAATGCTCACTATATACACAGACACAGATGACGATACATTTCCAAACTGCCTACAGAATTCTACCTGTCTTTAGAATTTTGTGAATATATGTCCTGCTCCAAGCTGGATACGTCTGTAGAGAAAGTTCATTTCACTTAAACGTAACGTCAAAACACAATGTATGTTTGAATACACACCACAAAATAACAGGGAAAACTTATTGCTTTAATCTCCGTATGGTGTTTTTCAGTCAAGTCCTAACTTCTGGCAGTTCGTACCAATTTGACATAATAAGCCCGGGGAACAAGAAGGAATACATTTTTAGCTTTAGCGCGAAAATATAAATAAAAAGAGCAGCTGGTAAAAAGAAAAATTGAGTGACTATAAAGAAAAGGTTTCCACCATTTCAAAGTTACGATCTTTTAGGTCCTTAAACCAATCGGTTTAATGCATTTCGTCTTTATGTACACAAAATCCAATCTCTTGGCAAAATGAAATCCAAAAATATATAAAAAAAGGATTAAGGAAAAGAAACTTACAGTCTAAATTCTGCTTTTTCCTAAAACAACCCTCTGTCTCGATACGTAGTTATATATTTTCTTTGTGGTAATCCGCAGTTAGAAGCTATTCGTCTGAGATCGAATGTGCACGGCGCAGTCCCTTGAAAATGAGAAATGCGCGGGGCATGTAGGAAGTCGAATGCTGTGCGATGGTCTATGTGGTCCAAGAAATCGCCGGCATGGGTGTCCGTCTATCCAGAGGAGCCGATGCTGGTCCTAGTCCGTCGATCGGGCAGTTAATGGCCGAAATTTCTGGAAGAGAGGAACTACGAAGCAGCCCTGCGTGAAGGGGCTGCTTCAAGTGACAGAAAGAATGGAGGAAATTTTGTAAAATTGAAAACCCTAACCCAAAAACCATAAATCTGCGCTTCCTGCTATTTGCTCGCAGACAGCAGAAGTCTAGACAACTAAAATAATAATAATAATAATAACTCAAAAGAAAAAATATATATTATGCGTTGGCAGAGAATAACAATTTATTATTTTAATATTTTAGGAATATAAATAAATTATTTTTATTAATAATTTTTATATTTACTACAATTTAAAACTAATTTCTATTTTTAGAATATAATAAAATTTAAAATTAATATTACTTGGATATAATAAATATAATAGTTAAATTAACCAATACTTTAAATGATACATAATTTAATATTCTAAAGTTTTTTTTAAAAAAAGATGCGGTCAACATTATCTAACTATCAGTAGACAATTGGGGTGCACATAAAACATCTGAAATAAAAAAAAAATTAAATTTTTTTATATTGATTTTTTCCCTAGAAAATGGTATTGATGCTTTAAGTTTTTGTCAATTATTTCAACTTAAATAATTACTTTAATTATTTATCTAAAATTACATCATAAAATCATTAAATATTATTATTCAGTTGTAACATTTAAAGTGATCTTAAGCTCAGTTTATTATATTATTATTTAGTTCATAAATTTTAATTATTTAATATATAAAATTTAATCATAATTTATATATTTGTTATATTCATATATTAAATTATGTTAAGAATCTAATGTTGAGCTTTATTCAAATTCAAAATCCATTAAATAGCCAGGAGAATATAATAAAATTTTAAATGAAAATATAATGCTAATAAATTTATCTAGAAGCAAACAATGATGGGAGTGGAATATTTTTAAATTATCTTATATATAATTAAAATATATTTTAAGACACGAGCTTAATTCCCTCTAGATACGTGTGCATCGTGCGCATTGGTCTGTGAAATTCCTCATTCACCCTCACGATTCAACAATTGAGCTGGGGTTAATTTAGTCATTTCATAATCTGTTCTTTTCACTTTTGATCCTCTTCTAAATTATTTTCAACTCGCAATCTTGTATGAGACCGGCCAAATATTCCTCTTCTCGATGTCTCAAATGATAGCTGGTAAACTTCCGACAACCGACATGGATTCCGTCAAATCGCAACCAACCACCGCTTGCCACGTGGTCGCCATACCTTATCCTGGCCGCGGCCACATCAACCCCATGATGAACCTCTGCAAATCACTAGCTTCTAAATCAAACAGCTCCATCCTCGTCACCTTTGTCGTCACCGAAGAGTGGCTCGGCTTCATCGGCTCCGAGTCGAAGCCCCACGGGATCTGTTTAGTCTCCATACCTAACGTCCTGCCCTCGGAGCTGACCCGCGGCTCCGATATGGAAGGGTTTCTGGAAGCTGTCCACACGAAGATGGAGGCTCCGTTCGAAAGGCTCCTGGATCGCCTCGAGCCGCTGGCTACTCTCATTTTGGCTGACTCTTTTCTGTCTTGGGTGGTTGCCGTCGGAAATCGGAGGAATATTCCGTTAGCTTCGTTTTGGCCGATGTCGGCGAGCTTTTTCTCCGTTCTACAACATCATTATCTGTTCGAGCAACATGGTCACTTCCTTGTAGACTTGTCTGGTAGGTCTCTAACAGCTTCTTTTTTTTTTTCTTTCCTATGGAGATGAATTTTCTTTTTAATATTTAAATTATTCAGTTAAATTTTTTATTACAAATTAGGCTTTAAATTTATAAAATAAAATTATCAAATTTGAACTCAAATTATTATTAATTATACAAAAAAAATAAAATATATTATTTAAATTACACAACTAAATGATAACACAAGACACTGATATCCTAATCGTATATATTAGAATATTCTTAATATATTGTCAGCAGTTTAATTATATATATAGATACACACACAAATATGTGGTTCAAATATTTAAGAAATGATTTACCAAAAAAATATACAAAAATGCTTAGATAAATATTTTACAATATAGTTTAGATTATAATAAAGTATAGTATAACTTTTTATTAATAATGAAAGGTTAGGTCAGAGTTGGAGCAATAACATACTTAAGGAAGTTGAAGGTTCTAACTACAGTGTAACTTGTTTTTTATTAGATTTTTTAGTTTTTTTTTTTATTTTAATGTAATATTATTTAATTCAGAATGTTTAATTTAATTTTTTTTTTCTATATAGAAAAAGGTGACGAGCTAGTGGACTATATACCAGGAGTTTCTTCCACACGATTAGCTGAATTTCCTTTAGTTTCAACTGAAACTGATAAAAAAGTTTTACAAAGAATACTGAAAGTATTTTCTTCAATGCAGAAAGTACAATATCTTGTGATCACATCAGTTTACGAGCTTGAAAACACCCCCATGGATGTTATAAAGCAAGAATTTTCATTTCCAGTATACGTTATTGACCCTCTCATATCTTCTTTCGAGCTTAAAGATGGCGATGACAAGGATGATGATAGTAATACAAGCAAGAACGATTACTTGAAATGGCTTGACTGTCAACCCGCCAACTCTGTTTTATATGTGTCAATGGGTAGTTATATTCAAATCTTAGATGCTCAATTTGATGAAATAGCATATGGATTGAAAGAAAGTGAGGTTCCCTTTTTATGGGTAACTCGTGAACAGAACTCTCAACTAAAAGAAGTTTGTGGTGACATGGGAATGGTTGTATCTTGGTGTGACCAGTTAAAGGTGTTGTCTCATCCTTCTGTCGGTGGATTTTTGAGTCATTGTGGGTGGAATTCTGTGAAAGAAGGTTTATTGATTGGTGGTATTCCTTTTTTAACATTTCCTTTATATGCAGATCAAATCTTCAATAGTAAATTAGTGGTTGAAGACTGGAAGATTGGATGGAGGATGAAGAGAATTAAAGGAGATGAAGATAATGTGGTGAATAGAAATGAAATTAAAGAGCTTGTTAGAAAGTTTATGGATATTGATGATATGGAAGTGAAGGAAATGAAGAGGAGAGTTAAACAATTTCAAGAGAAACTAAGAAATGCAATTCATTATACACATGAATTGTTTGAAAATGACATCTATTCCTTCCTCGAGAAGATTTCACAATATTAAATAAAGATAATAGTGTTACAATATTTGATTTGATAGTTGAGTTACGGGTTCACTGAATACGTATAATTTATCATTTTATGTGTGTAATATTTAATTTTGTAAATTTATGACTTAATTTATTAGTGTGTTGGGAAGTATACATGATCAAATTGATTTTATCTTAACAAATTATTATAATTCTTATATCATGATTAGATATGTAGTTCGGGTTAATCATAATGAGTTAACATCATTTTATCCTATCAAATGGCTGTTATAATAAAATTTTATTTATATAATTTTTTTTTTAATTTTTTGTATCTTGATTTTATTTAATTTTAAATATTATAATTTTCTATTGCTTTGCAATAGTTTAATATTTAAAATTTTGATGATTATCATTTTACTTAATAGTGTGTATGACGTGAATACATTTTAAATTTTAAAATATTGTGAACATGTTAAAAAGAGAAAAAATGAAGTAAAACAAGGAACGCATTCTCAATTAAATTTGAACTAGTCATATTATTTAAAATTTGAACTAGTCATATTATTTAAAAAGAAAAAATTTTAAGACAAGAAAAAAATTATATTTTATTCTCACAAAAGATTAATTATAAATTATTAGTATTTAAGCTCATTTGAAGTAGCTTTCAAATTTCAAGAGCACTTTTGCAATTAATCTAGTAAAATAAAAAATATTTTTAATAAAATATAAAATCAAAATTAGCTTTTGAGAGGTTTAAATATAAAAATTATTTTTGCCAAACATGCCGTTTTTAATTTATCTAAAGTCATAATATTTTATATAATTATTTATACTAAATACTAAATAATTTTTAATTAAAAATATTTGTAGTTAATATGTATTTAACAATACGTTTGAAATTCACTATATAAGTTAAAATTATCACAAACATCCACTCACAGTGCATTTCATTTGAAAATTATTAGATTTTAAATTTTAATATATAAAATTTAGATAAGATTTATATATTCTATACATAATTGAATAAATTTTATTCATGTTTTTAGTTTCATAGTGTAATAGAATTTAAAATTAATTTAAAGTTGAAAAAGAAACTCTTTTTATATAAATTTTATTTTATTTCAATTTATATTATATAAAAAGGAAATTCCAACTGATTAATAGTTTAAAACTGTTTCCTGGAAATGAATTTTTACACTTGACTACATATAGCAATATATATATATATAGTGAAAAAAATTAACGAATATAATATAAAAATCACTAAAGGAGAAAAGGAAGTAAACAATTTAAAATTGCATTTAATTCTCAAACATAAAAAATAAAAATTAAATTTGATATAAAAAAAAATCTATATTTATTATTTCTAACATAAATATCATGAGTTATTTATTTCTAAAATTTTATTGCATATTAATTGTCGAAAACTTTTTATGAACAGGAAAAAAAAAAAAACAGTAAATCCCTAAATCTTGGAACCCTAGCTCACGCAACTTGTCGAAAATCCAAAAAGAATTAAAAAGCAAATTAGTTCAAAATTTGTATCTTCCTTAATCTGCTTTGATTTTTCAAACCCAGAAAAACTCAACGACAAATAGAGCCAAAGGTCGGAAACATTTTATTTTTAATCTTACTCTTTCTCTCCCTCATCAAAATAACATTCCAGAATCCCCATTCTGCTAATGTGACACGAACCTTGTATGGCAATCGGTTCACTTTTAAAACCATCACAAAGCCCTAAATTCCCGATTCTTCATTTCGATTCGACCCAACAGGCTGCTTCAGTTTCCGATTTTGACCGTTCATGGCAACGGAGGCTACAACCACCAAGTTCCAGAACCCGGAATTTAGGCCGGTATCGCAGCCTTCAGAGTTTGACCATGAGATTAAAGTTGTCGTCCACGACGGTCTCCGGTACTGGCAATATATGATTGCTGGTTCAGTCGCCGGTTCGGTCGAGCACATGGCGATGTTCCCGGTCGACACCGTTAAGACGCACATGCAGGCACTCGGCTCGTGCCCCATCAAATCGGTCGGAGTACGTCAGGCGGTCCAGTCCATACTCAAATCCGAGGGTGCCGCCGGGCTCTACCGCGGCATCTGGGCCATGGGACTTGGAGCCGGGCCAGCGCACGCCGTTTACTTCTCCGTCTATGAGATCTGCAAGAAGTCCTTCTCCGGTGGCAACCCCAACAACCCCGCCGCTTACGCAGTTTCGGGAGTTTTCGCCACTGTCGCGAGTGACGCTGTTTTCACCCCGATGGACATGGTGAAGCAGAGGCTGCAATTGGGGAAGCACAGTCCGTATAAGGGCGTGTTTGACTGCGTCAAAAGAGTCTTGAGAGATGAAGGGATTGGAGCTTTTTATGCGTCGTATAAAACCACTGTGTTAATGAATGCGCCGTTCACGGCGGTGCATTTCACGACCTACGAGGCAGCGAAACGGGGCTTAATGGAGATTTCACCTGAGAGCGCCGACGATGAGCAGCTGGTCGTTCACGCCACTGCCGGAGCCGTCGCCGGAGCGCTGGCAGCTGCCTTGACGACGCCGCTTGATGTAGTCAAGACCCAGTTACAGTGTCAGGTATTTGCTGAATTTAAAAGCTGTTATGGAATATATTGAATTGGAACTAGTCAGAAGTGTTTGATGCCTGAAAACCAAATTAAATGGTTAGGAAGAGGGAGAGAAGATGATTCATGTTGGTTATGAAACAATATAGCCTAAGAATATAAGTTTTAGTTTTCACAAAGCATTAGAACTCTGTGCCGATAATGGTTTAATGATTGAAACAAATTAGTAACTGATATTTTACTTAACTTCTTTGGCATATACAGAGAGTAGCATTGATGAAATACAGTTTACAATCATCAAACAGAAATGTTATAGGCATTCATTGCTAGCTGAAAGCCAGACCCTTGAAGATTCTCTAACTAATGATCACTTTCATATATTTAAACCATATAACCTTGCCATGTTTACTGGTCATTTTTATTTACATATCACCAATGAATGCACAACTGTTCCCAATTAACTTTTTCGGCATGGACCCAGGAAGAATAAATTTGGAATTTACTGATAATCCATGATCAACTTTCTTTTATAGTTCCCTACCATTAGGGGAAGTCGAATCCTCGACTTTGGGGTGATTCACATTCTCTGATATTTTACCCAATTAATGTATCTATCGGAAGATGGTTTAGTGTTTCTCAGGCCCTAGAGTCCTTTCCCATTTGGTTCTACTTCCTTTTAACTAAACCATTGTTGTACAAAGAAATTGAATTGATAGAAAAACTCTAGTATACTAGTTTAGATGAGAACCATGTTAGTGTCTGCATGATTCCTATTTATGTCTTAAAGAGATACTCTGAAAAAAATAGATGTCTTAAAGAGCATCATTGACACGTGGCATAGTTAAATTTATGAATTTATTATTAGCCATGTGTTTCTTTTGGGATTATCTTATATATTGTTAGCAACAATTGGCTGGCTGGTCAGGGTGTTTGCGGATGTGATAGATTCAAAAGTGGTTCGATAGGTGATGTGATTCATACAATAGTGAAAAAGGATGGGTATAGAGGACTTATGAGAGGCTGGATTCCTAGGATGCTTTTTCATGCTCCAGCTGCGGCAATCTGCTGGTCGACATATGAAGCCACGAAAGCTTTCTTCCAGGACCTAAATAGCAGTAATGACGGTGGTTCTGTGACCTGAAAATTCACAAAGTCCAAAGGCATTCAGTAATCTTCAGGCGTAACACAAGTACCTCTGTGTAAGTAACAAGGAGGCATTCTCTTTCGATGGAGGATGAACAAGCCAAAACAGATGCCAGAGACCATATAAATTGGTCAGAGTAGAATTTTTATTTAAACTATACACAGTGTTGTCAATTTCCAATAATGTTATAAACCAATTTTTCAGTGTCTTTTTGCAGTTAGATACTTGTATCATGATTCATGAATCCCATTTAAGTGATTCGGCATGAAATATTTTGGGTAGGATGTAATCAATGAGGAAAGTTAAGAAAGTTTTGATGTCTTTTTCTGAAAGTTATGATTATTCTTCTGCCTGGATAAAAGATTCAATGTCTCTTCCGTTGTTTCCTGAAATAACTGAGTCTGCTAATTTGCAAAGATTTACTACAGAAGTTGTCAGGCTTTTGAGATGTTTTTCTCATACAATGAATAAATACTGAGTTTGTTCTTGATGCCCGGGTGATCTTAAGCTGTGATGATTGATTTTTCTTTTTTGGGTTCGATGATGCTTGCTGTGTGTGTGTATATATATACATAGACACGTACATAAACACATTATGTCTACGATGCCTTTCTTGATAACCAAGTTGCGGAAGAGGTGGCATGGTGAGTTGCAATGTGCTTACCTCAAACCGCAATCAAGGCAATAATTTGGCGACTTGACATCAACAATTAAAACCGCCAAAAGATGCTCTGGCATTTACCCAATATGTCTCCGTAATGGGCGTGTTAGCCTAAAAAAATACAAAGGTAACTTTTTTATATTTTGACTAAATGATATAAATTCAGTTTAATAAGTTAAACTATAAGTCAACCAAATAATTTCTTTTTTCTTAGAATACAAAAAATTCAATGAATAAGTAAGCTATTGAAGCCTTGAAGAAAATTAAGGAATTTCGATGGAATTATGTTTTAAGAAAAAATTTATACATTCATATCGGATGATATATAAATACCAATTGTAGCACAATAAAAACAATTCTTTAACAAAGTAAATACAAGAATATAAATAGATTCAAATTTACAATCTCTTATAAAATAAGGGACATATCAATTATTGAATTTAGTAGTTAATGAAATGTAACATATTTCTCTTGTTCTTTTACTCTCTTCATTTTGTTGTCAGCAAAATTAGTTCTTTTGAATCTTTCTAAGACTCAAAATCTCTTTGAATACATAAATTGTTTTGTACATATAATAATTTCTTTACCAGAGAAAGAAAATACTTTCCCTTTTGCCATTGGAAGAAGCTACATAATCCGATTCCCCTCAATGGTTTCAGTGGTTGAAGCTGATGAGCTTACAACCTGCCCAACTATCACAGTGATATCATCAAGTTTTCCACCTGCCTCACCAAAAAGAGTACAAAGGAAAAGAAACAAGTCAAGGTCAGTAATGGCTGGCTAGTTATGAATTATTTACTTATTAGCAGCAGTTTCTGTTTCAAGCTGATTCTGTTCTCATTTAATTTTTAAATCTTAATTATTTAACATAAAATATTTGATTATAGTTGACAAAAATTATCATAACCAGTTGGAACCCACCAGGATCCATTTTGGATCTTCTAAGTTCATTTTTAATTGACTTCAGGTCAGGTTCAAGACTAGAAGAAAAACTTATTCGAATTCAACCTAATTATATATCTATTGTAAGTCTTTTAACTTTAGTTAAAAAAATATATGCAATAGATATCTTTTGATTGTGTATGTAATAATATATATATATATATATATACACACACACATATATTATCAAGTTGAATCGGGTTAAGTACCCTAGTTGGACTAACGAAGAAAATTGGTAACCCTGTTTCAGGTCCGGAGTGAAATCATGTTTTTTATATTTAGAACTGAGTTGTGTTCAAATTTTACAAAACCTATTCTGAATCATTCTGTTGCTATCCATAATTTACTGAAGAGGACATGAAAATTATATTTGAATCGCAATATTATCTTTTCTCAAATTTGTATCCTATTTGTATTGTTCAAATTCCTATTACATGAAGTTAAATTTTGAATCAAACTCCACTTTAGTGCTATACAAATGAGAATATCAATACCTATTAACTTGTTGCCGAGAATCTTCTTCCACCAAGGAACATCCAAACCCTGAAAAAGAGTTATCGCCAGTATAATTTAGAAAGAGAAACATGTTTTTGCACAACAAAAACCAATGATAAAACTTATGAGCTAACTACCCACTAAATCTTGGAGGTGTTTGTTTTACCTTGGTTCTGGCTTCTATCGAATATGGAGAATCAAAGTTTGTGTCCGTTGAATGGTAGCTTGCGAGGTTAGCCAATGCCTTTGCTAGCATTAAAATAAAATCCAAGTTAGAAGCTTATGAGGTTGAGTTACCAATCCTTCAACTACCAAATATTATGAAGTAATTAGTACCAGCCTCAGCCACATTGCACGGCTTCCCCATTGTTGAGATAATTTCATGATCGAAAACATTATCAAAAAGCCCATCTGATCCCATAACTACAGCATCTCCCTCTATTAGCTCCAAGTTGCTAACCTGTTTTTCGAGAGAGTTAGTTCTACTAGACCAGGGAGAACCTTTAGTTCAAGATTTAAGATCAACCTCTCCCAGATTCTGAATCGCAAATTGAGGCTACGTCTTGAGGAGGACAGGCTTCTTGTTTCTTTTATCAGAAGATAAAATAGATGATTTTGATGAAGATTAAAAGGGATATATCTGTATATCATCATACCATGGCATCAAGATATGTTTGGCCAAATGTCTCTGAACTTAGTTGGTATGGGCAATCAAAATAATGTTCTTGGGGAGATGTTGAAAAAATGATATGACCTGTAAGTTTGGTTAATAAAACCATGTTAGCAAACTCAAAATTTTCTCTATAAAAGTGAAAAAAGTAACTGTAAAAGAGCTTGGAATGAGGCAAACTTAAGGTAACTTTGTTGAATTCTATCGACAACAACATAAAAAGATTTCAAGTCATACAGTTGGGTACTGAAATAAAGGAAAGAGTTTGCATTATTGTTGTGTCATCTAGAAAAGTTAAGCAAGCAGATTAAACCAAAAAGTAATATAACGAAGAATTCTGGAAATTACGACATGTTTTTCTCTCTTCCAAATCCTATCCCTAACACAGTCAAATCTCACAAAGTATAAATTACCATAGTTATAAGAGCAAAAAATTCAAGGAAAAAAATCCTCAAATTGGCTGTACCATTTATGGAAAAGTCATTTAATATTTGATCTTGTGAAATCAATACATAATGACAACAATTACCTTCTCTGAGTACCCGTAGTCCACAGTCACCAACATTGGCAATCTTTATAATCCCATTCTCCTCTAGCATAGCAATAATACTGATTAACCAAGTAGAATTCAATGTTAAAAATCATAAATAACTATACTACACAAGTAACTCAAAGGGGAATTATCCAAAACCTGTGAACTTACACTGTAGCTGAACCCGTGGATGAGGTAGCAGCATGTGCCTTCCTTATTAGAATCCGAGGATCATATTGTACCTAATAAATATGAGACATGCATCAGGGCGTGTTAATTAACAACAACCATGACAAACAAATGAACTCGAAAGAATGCCTAGTGACATGCAATTAAGTATAGATTCATAATTCCAATTCCTTTATAAATTGTTTCAAGCAAAACTACTAAAGACAAGACAACCATTGTGAACATTTTATCTCCAGTTGCATTACTTTACTACCTCCTCGTCTCCCACAAGATAGGAAGCATTTGCCATTAATTCCCGAGAAAATAGCGAGGGATCCACATTCTGTTCAGCCCAACTGGGAAGCATATAAATTTGCATTTGAGATAAAAAATCAACTTCAAACTTCATAGTTCTCAATATTTTGGTTTTTCACTTTTTTAAAGAAACAGAATAGTGTTCTTAACTGAAGTTTTCATACCCAGAAACACCATCAGCAACAGCAATAACTCCCCCTTTGTAGCCACTAACAAAGAAAGCATCTTCCCCACCTCTCTCAACCTTACAAAGCACCAAAGTACCTGCCTTGCTAAGTTTCATACCGAAAGAAGGACATAATATACAAGGATATTAAGAAGACAACCTTGTTCGGATGAGGAATGAGATAAGTTCCAACACAGAAGGACAATTGTGACCTGCTGCAACTGCACCAAATTAGGCAAACCCACTTAGTTCAATTATTCACAAAAACCCAAGCCAACTCATTTGTAAACATGCATACAAAAGAAAAAACCTTAACGGCAACCTTCTTCTATTCAATTCCCAGTGCTTTACCATTCAACTAATTACCAGACCATGCATGGCCTTCAGTATTTTCTAGTGTAATTGCATGGTAAAGAAAACCGAATTGAATTGAAAAAAGAAGGGTCGTCAATTCTAATCACAAGGGTACTTGCTTTTGGTCTCAAACTTGCAAAAAAGACATTTTATTGGTTAGAATTCCAGATTTAATTCTTAACCATTATACTGTACAGAATTAGAGATACCTGCTGACATATAATACAATTTATAAACACCCAGAAAATAATAAAAAGGAAAAATGTTCTGGTCCTCTGGATATCAGAAACTCAAGAGGATTATAAAGGCACGCCATTATCATTTTTTTACACCCAGAAATGTAAATGGTTTGTCTGCTATCCCAACCATGAAGTGTTAACACTATAAGTGCAAAAAGTTAAGCTAATTAAGATGCACAAAAAAGAAAAAAAAAACCATAGAAATTTGAATATGCACAACTTCTCCTTGAATAGTGAGTGACTGTAGGCAGAGAAAGTTTGTATACCGTACTGGGTTGAGCTCTTGTGATGAAGTACAAAAAAGTTGTGTACTTTTCCTTGGAATTGAATTCCCGTTTGGTAGTCTGGGACTATGCAAATGGGCAGCACAAAGCTGTTGACTCTCTGGAATCCCAATCCTAAAAACGGGAACCGCCATTTCTCGTTTCCACACACACACAATCTTCCTCTATCTCTGACTCTTGTGAGTAGTTTAGCTGCTCTGGCCGTCCCCTTCAGCCTGTATGTTTGGTTGAAGTTTATGGCGGCTCTAGTTCAATGTACAACATGGCCAAAGGCAGACGCACGTGGCACCAGTGGTCTAGTGGTAGAATAGTACCCTGCCACGGTACAGACCCGGGTTCGATTCCCGGCTGGTGCATTCATTTTTGTCACTAAAATGGTCTGGCGCGGAATAGTGCCAAGTGTAAAATAATACCCACCATCAAACCAACAAGCACTAGTGGTCTAGTGGTAGAATAGTACCCTGCCACGGTACAGACCCGGGTTCGATTCCCGGCTGGTGCATTTCTTTTGGGTTCATTTCTCAGTCAAACGACGTCGTATTAATGTAAGCCCTGCTGGATCTATTAACTCTTGGTATTTCAATGGGCAAGTTCTTGCTACAAAGAGTAGGATCCTTTTGCCCTGTTATCTGACATGGAGAACCCAACAACGGACTCCGCGTCGATCTCCTTGGGTAATTCTACAGAAGGTAATCAATGTTCGTTATTTCCGTTTCCGTTCCTTTTAATTGACTTCAAAATTTACACTCTTTTTATTTTTCTTCGGTTCTTTTTCTTCCTTTTGTTTTTTGTTTTCTTTTTGGTAAATGAATATTTGACATGTTCATTATTTATATCCTGATGTATTTTGTAGCAGAGAACAGATCTGGAAGCGACACGGAGTCGAATCTCGATGACGATGTCCCGCAATACTACCAGCCAATCTCGGCCGTCGATGGTGACGAGGAAAATCCCGATCACCAAGTCAACTCAGACGAAGAACATTATGGATTTCAGGTGTCCGATAGGCGCGGCCTCTCGAACGGTTACTGTGCGCATGGCGAAGCAGAGGATGGGATCTCTTCACTGCGGCTACAAGAAGACGTAGAGCAGAAGAGCGATAGCGAAGACGAGGATGACGAGAGGATGAGACACGCGTCTGATTGGGCGATATTGAGGGCGTTTAGGACGCACGAGACACGAAGAAACGCGCCGTTGACAGCAGAGAACGTGGCGAGGATTATGGAGACAATGCGTGGAGTATCGTTCGGTGGATTGGCTCCTGATTGGGCCACTCAGGTCCCCGAGGATCGCTGGATTGATCAGCTCAGGAGATTGAGGCCGCCTTCAGCCACCCCCTCTAGTACCCTTCAAAACTAGGGAAAGAATTATCTTTTTGTTCTTCTACCTTCATGTTCGTGTGGCTTAAACTCTCATTTACTTTTATCTTATTCTTATAATTAGTAGATTAATTTTTACCTAACAATATACAGAACTACATTTGAGCTAGCTCGTTTCGTCCTCAAAGATTACCACACAATTATGATTTGTGTATTGATATTGGTACAAATATTCATCTTGCTTATACTTCTTTGGTGATTTGAAGAGATTGCAGACAAGTTTCAGTGACTTGAATGAGGGGAAAATAAGAACTTCAATCAAATAAAATATGCAGAGAAATGAATTTGTTATTAAAATGGAGAATTTCAAGAAGTAATAAAGGATGATATTTCACTAAGCTACCAGCAAAATAATGTCAAACAAGCGGGTTAAGTTTTTTTATTTGTTTGGCGCATTAACCAAACTCAGGACTTCAACAGACCCATTTTCAATCACTCATTACACTGAACCAAAGAGAGAAGTCTCAGTATAATCTAATCATCATACAAAATTGAAGCAGCCCAGTTAGGTTGATAACTCCACTAAACAGCAGTCTTTTCTTGCATTGGCTTGAGAACCCACTCCACTCTTTTGAACCCTGATGCTACCGGTATGACTACGGTTAGCTCAATAAACAGAATTTGAGTCATCTCTCCAGGGACGCCTTTTAAGCACTGATGTTTTCAATGTCAGCGCTTTTGTCTATTCTCTTCACTATGCCGGCTATGACCTGATAAGTGATCCAAATAAACTCAGAAGGATGAAATTTCTCAATATTTAAGAATGGAATCTAAGATATTATATTGTTAGAATAATTTATACCTTTCCTGGTCCCAATTCATAACTCTTCTTTAGTCCTTTAGTTAGCAGGGTCTTTACTGTTGTTTCCCATTGAACAGGAGAAGTTACCTGGGGTTTATAAGTCAATGTGTTTAGTTACTGTTCAGTGTTCAAAAACTATAATTGAAAGAAGAAATAGTTAGAATCATACTTGGCGGGCTAATATCTTCTTAATCGTGTCAGGATCAGCATGAGGTTGTGCGTCAACATTGGAAATGACTGGTATCCTTGGAGTTCTAATATGTGTTGCTGCCAATGCCGCTTCCAATCTTGAGACTGCTGGATGCATGAAACTAGTGTGAAAAGCACCAGCAACAGCAAGACGCACCTGTTGAAAAGGGATACAGTGGTGGCAGGTGAATGAGAACATACTGGACAGAACTAAAAGAGTCAGGAGGAAGTTACCGTCATTCGAGCCTTAAAAGACTTTGCTTTTGCTTCCACTGCTTCAATTCCCTTCACTCCTCCAGAAACTGCATAATTCCCCTATCAAAGCACAGCATATTCTTTGTCAATTTCAAGGTGAAAAATGCTAGATTACAATCAGAAAACACAGTTCTGCTTATGAATCAAGACAACAGATCTGAAAAAACCTTACAGGACATAAGAAATTTGCAATCTGAACTTTATTAGCTTCATCAACTTCTGCATTGGCTGCATCACACAATTGCAGGACCTTGTCTGAATCCAGACCTATGACACTGACCATAGCACTTTTAGCAGCATCAGCGGCTTCCTGGAGTCACTCATAGAAAATATAATCCAAGCGATTATGAAATCAGGAAGTGGGCACAAGAGATCAAGATATCAGATAGCTAGCTAGCAAAAAGAAGTTACCTGCATGGCCTCCCCCCGAAGTTTGACAAGCTTCAGACCATCCTCAAAGCTTGAAAATTGAATCAAATACTTGAAATAAGGGGGTGGTTAACACATGAATAAAGCTAGGAAATAAATTAGGGATGATTTGATTATAAAAACAAGATCATTGTGGACTAGTTTTGTAGAATTCTAAACAGGGTGACTAGGGAATATAAGGTCTATTGACCCGATAAAACCCATTCATTAGTACTGTAGTTTTAAGGCACAAGTCAATGGTCACCCAGTGATTTCCTCAACATCTGTTCCAAGACAATTATAAGCATCATAATTGTTATTATTTCTGCAGGTTTCAGAACATGCTTAATGATAGATCACCAGCTAAAAAAGATTTTGGACTTAGGCAATGCGATGAGAAGTCTTTTTTTTTCTTGAGAAGAGCGGTGGGAAGTCTTTATTTGTCTCCTTTTACCAGAACTTTTCAATTATGGGTTATTTTAAGTTTTGTCTAACATCCATTATGGTTTATTTCCTAGTAAGAGGGGACATTTACTTCCTACTTGAATTTCCCTTATTAGATAAAATGCGCTTTGTATGATTTAAGCCAAGCCTATTTTGATCGATACTCCAAACTCTAATTTTAAGATGTTAGCTAAATATTTTTGTTCTTTTCTCTTATGTGCTCTACCTTTTCTTACTGTCCTAGATCATTTAGCTCACTATATCAGTGTTGTACTAACTAGTAGACTAAAGCACAAGCCAAAAAAATAACTGGAAGCATATAATTAATTGGTGAATGTCCATCAATGTGATGTTGCTTAGTTATAAAAAAGTTAGATAAATAAGCATAAAAATTATTTTTCTGAATGCATGACGCACCTGAAGGCCTCAGAAAATGCTAATGCAGTATATTCTCCTAAGCTAAGGCCACAGGTCACATCTACAGAATCAATTATCTGCTGACCCCCATCACGAGCACGGAGCAACTCAACTGCAGCTAGACTTGTGACATAAATAGCAGGCTGCAAGAATCAGATTCTCACTTATAACCACCAATATAAGATATTTTCATTGAACAATACAGAATTGCATGGCATTATGTTTCCAGCCAACCCGAAAGGTGAAGATATGTTGAACACCAAAAAATTCAAAACATATCACTGCTTGTTTGCCTGCTTAGAGAAGTAACAGCTAATGGAGCTATTTTCTAGACAGTTTAAGATATCAAACAAAGTGATGAAAGGGGCAAGGCAAACCTGGCTTATAACAGTTGAATCCAGCTTTTCTTTAGGGCCATTTGTGCAACATCCAGAAGATCAAACCTTTAACAGGACCAAATTTCAGTT